TACTAAATGTTATTTATAAAATGTAAACTCGACTTCAGGTGGGGACAGGTAGGTGAGGTCCTCTATTTTTCTCAATGGCAACTTAATTTGACATACCTACTGTGTACGAATAGGTCACATGTTTTTAATTTTTACTATGGAAAACAGTACAATATTATCAAAACACATCCGTGTTGGGCTTCCGTAATACAGAAAGATTTTAGTGTCTTCCTTATATATGTGTATGAAGAAATATCCTACTCAGAACTTTGTTCTATAGGATTTGCTTGGAACTTAGCCCTACCCCCTTTTTTCTTCACGCTGATGCTGCTACTAACTGCATCTGTTTTTTTAAAAAGCCATCATCATAGCAGAACAGCAATTTTTCAGCATTGGGCAACAATGCTTTTAACAATGCACTTTTTTAGCATTGTTTAAAGCGTTCTAGCTGCATAAAGAAGGAACTAAAAATCTATTTCTAGTTCAAAAAAGGAATAAATTTGGGTCGTTTCAGTTCCTCCTTTAGTCCCTGGAGTCGAAACTTTTCCTATTAATAATTTGTACAAAACGAGTTCTCGTTTGATCGAGAAAGCTGCCAGGAAAACAGGATCTCTTCTTCTACAAAGAGTATCAACGACTTGAGCAGGACGCTAAAAAGCGCTTTTTATCCCTAAGAAAAATGCCCAAACTTTCTTCTGTCCAGTCTTAACAAAATCCATCCGATTATGTTGGACATAGCAAACAACTATCATCTACGTACCTTTAAAGACTGGTTGAAATATCGTCATGTTAGTGTCGTGAGTTGTTCCTTTCCCCCGTTGCAGTTTCTTGTTTACCATCGTTATTATCAAGGTCACATGGGTCGGAATTCCTTTCTTTGAGTTAATAGGACTTTTGGAGCTTCTTCTGACCTGCTCAGCCCAAAACTTGTTTGGCTCTCTTACAAAATCATAGGGTATTGTATGATTAAGTTTGTTGAGAATTTTTATCGTCTCCTTGCTTCCTGTAATACGATGAAGTGTCATACCTGTAATAACTTGCTTGGTGTAATATTCTTTCATTATCAACGATCCCCAGTGGCGAAAATTCAGACTGGGTTCCAAGGGTTCTGGAACCCTGTCAAATTTTCCAAAGACACATAACACCAGTTTTCCCTTTACTTTCGAATAAATCGCAACGAGTCCCAACGTCAAATGGCCTCTTGTAACAAAACCTTTGCTGCTCTCTAAATATGGTATTGTGAAAGAAAGGAACCCTGTCGTAGCCATGGCTATCTTTTGTAACATATTATATTCCTCTGAAGAAAGGAGGCCTGTCGTAGCCAAGACAACCCTTTGTACCATATTGTATTATTTAAGAAACGAACCCTGTCGTAGCCATGGCAATCGATTGTATTATATTTTTTTCGCTATAAGCAAAAGCCCCCTCTTAGCATCCATCTCACGAGCTCATTGGAACTTATTTAAACCGCTGACCGTCCTGTTTTCATAATGGCGCTCGAGGGTCAAATCACTGCTTAAAATCACGTACGCTCTCAAAAATAATGACACTTTAATCACAAATTAATCACATCAATCACAAAAATCACATTAATCGCGTTAATATCATATTAATCACAAAAAATCACCAGTCATATTAAGCGCAAAAATTTTAATCTCTGCTCAAGTTTATTCGCCTATGTTATTGAAACAAATTAAATTTCCGTTTCAAGGTTCTCCACACTTTGATGTACATGTTCAAAAATCTGCCATCACACTCGAGAACATGAGCAAAAGTGAAGGCCTCGTTCTCAAGCCGGGGTCGCTGACATAACTACAAGATAAAACATAATTTTGTTGCCGATTTTTAAGTACTTCCAAGCTGGGGCTAGGCGGGACACCCGATGGGCCCCTTTCAAGAGAGTTTGTAAAACCCTGGACAAACAGACCTCCGTGAAAGAGATGCGTGGAATATGAACATGGCCGCCGAGAGGGAGACAAGGAAGGGCAAACTGCCCCAAGGCCTCGAGGTATAGGGGGCCACTTAAAGCCAGGAATTCCAATATAAGAACTGAATTTTAACGAAACGCAACAAAGTATGCCTAAAAAGTTGTAAAACGTGGTAAACACTGTAAAAGACATTCTGAGATGTATTTCAAGCTAATTTAAATGGCGTGGCCGGAAAAAATTTCTGCTTGCCTCGCTCACAGTCCTAAGTGCTCTGTCAAGTTTGTGTTTGTATCAGATATGCCTTATGTGGATTTGCTTCACATTTTTTGCAGTCTTAAAGAGACTGTGGTTAGAGAAAAGAGGACACACTACAACAAATATGGCAAATGCACCTTTAAAGATGATAAAAACTGGCACCTTTAAATTTTTTCGTAGGTGCATGGTTTCCTGGTACGTACCATTTTTGGCGACCTGTGGTTTGTGATTTGAGATTTCATACGAATGAGCGGGCCCCCTTATGGCCATTTTCTCCCGGCCCTTTTCTAGGGGCCACAACGTCCCTGTTTTAAACTAATTTCTCGTTGATTGCTGATCTACGTAACAAAAATCTCTGCCAAACTGTCATGATAGGTTGTCATATGATTCACGAAATACTTTAGTTTTATTTGACCTATGACTTGGCTTACCATTATGTATTTTCGTTTTGTTTATGTATCTTGCCCTATGTCGCCTCTTCAAACGGGTTTGATTGCACAAAAATCTATTGAAAGCACTTTCGAATATGTGATTAATTCTTAAAACGTCATGAATCAATCACAAATTAATCACTTTAATCACAAAGAAATCAAATTAATCACAAAGAAATCAAATTAATCTCGTGATTTTTAATCTTGTACACCATTTTCAGTAGTGATTTGCCCCTCGTGGAGGCTTTGACTGCACGATGACGAGAGCTTGTTTTAAGCGCTCAAACAGGAAGAGACCAGCACCTGAAGATCAATGAAAGTTGATAATCGTATGGAAGAGTGCTATGGATTTTCAACAAAGCTTTTCAAACACGCTTCGCCAACTATTTGCTCATTTTTCTCGACTGGCCTAGCTAACCCGGAGAAGACAGATCACCGCTTTTTTGCTAATGGATCAAGCGAAAAGTCCATTTCAAATAGTTATAGTAAAGTGATAGTTGTATTTTGCAGTAAGCAGGAGAGAATTCTTTGCAGGAAGCTCAGAAATGTCGAAGATATTTTCTCTTTGACGTGCAAAGTTCATAGAACTCTTAAAGCCCTATACATGATATATTTATCTATAGAGTGAGAACTTTATCAAGATAAAATGGAAGACTTTAGAGAATGGGATAAGATGATTTCATAGGTCATAATTTGCACTTTTTAATAATTGGGTTTGTTTGCTATACATGATAAGAGGCTTCGTCCATCGTTATCCATTTTTGACAATCTTGGTAACTATTTGGGCCTATTCGTAAATTTGTCTTGTTTACTATTATTTGGTAATATTCACCGCATGAATTTCACTCAAATCTTGCAACACTCAGTAAGCTTATGTCCTGCTGTAACAAGCTAGAGGAATTTATTAAGGTTTGGCAAGAAATCGAAACCATTCTTTTAGAATTCATAATGACAATTCCTGGTTTGTTTTACAGATTTCTTTTTTTACTTGCCTTGGAATCATGATGAAATAATATATCTTGTTAAAATTAAATCTTGCAATTGTGGATATTATCAAAAAACAAAAATTAGCGTCGCCCAATTTTGGACAAAAGTGAAGGGCGTTGCCAGGAAAAAAGATGGGACCATGCCCATATAGGAACCCACTCAAATTTTGCCCCCCCCCCTGCCTATCAAATATCAGGGGTGCCAAAATAAAATTTTCACATTAAACCTGGCATACGAGGACAATTTACATAAAAGAATCAAACAATACTAAAGGCGGACTTGAAGAGATTATAAATCACTTAACAACGATCGTCCAACATCATCTCAAGATCTCACACTAAATCTACATGATTTTTGCACAAAGTAGATACCAGGGACGTACCGAGGTGGGAATTGCGGGGTGTTTTTGAGGAACCAGCCGAAAATTTCCGGCTTGGCAGTAAAAGTTCTGATTAGGCACCATTTCAAACAATTATTGGTCTAGAGCGATGTTGTAAATATTTTGATGCATTTTCTGACCAGCTCTAAGAGGGCGCCACTGCCCACAGATAGATAGATACAGATCTGCGTGCTTCCGAGCTCTCATACTTTTCTGAAATTTCCCAAAACTTTGAAGGAAAATTTGGAGAAAGCTGAATGAGGGGCGCCATTTTGACCCTGTGCCCCCCCCCCCTGCAATCTCAAGCCAAGCACGTAATTGCAATGCACAAAAGAAATAAGAATAGTTGTATCCACTATCCACCAAAAAGACTCTGAAAGGGTATTTTTTCGGGAGACAAAACTATTAGTCCTTTGTTTCGAAACAATACCGTCTAAAACCAATCAGTGTTGCGGGGTCATAGCACATGCGCATTAATAACAGTATTCATACAGCTGTTCTGTCTGCGAGCATCCAATTCTTGAACTTCCTGCCAGGGCTTCAAGTGATAATACGCATGTGCAATGACCTCGAAACGAGGGCTAGTGCATGTCTGGAAGACGGGCATGATTCATCTCCCGAACAAGTATAAGGTCAGAAGGGAAAGTCTGCTAAATATGATGAAATATTCAGAAAATTTATTTCAGAAAGATTGATGAAGAAGGGACCTGCACAAGCTTAATATTTCGTGGGTGGACGAGTTTTGGATATTTCGTAAACTTTCCGCTTATATATGGGCATATATTACATACTTGAATTTTGAAGATTTCCCAAGAAATAACTCTAAACTTAAATGAAGTTATTCAAAATTCAAACTGCAATTTTGTTCGGTAATTTTAATTTTAAAAAACAGTATTACGGTAAAAATAAAAAAGTCTTGCGGAATTACGGTAAAAGAGAAATTTTCTTGCGGAATCACGGTATTTGATACCCCCTCCTTGATTAAAAAATGTTTGTGGTCAGAATTATTACGTTTCATATTGTTTCTTTTATTTTTTTCAGTTTGACCTCTACTGCGACAAAGAAATCTACGGGTACTTGACAACGTCATTATTTTTCATTGGGTGGGGATTCGGTGCTGTTGTTCTTGGCATCGTAGCTGACAGGTAAGGTGCAGAAATGGCCATGAGGCTAAATATGTCATCATATAAATCGTTTGACGAATAGGCTTTTTCACTCTAAGCTATCTCTAAATAGTCAATGTGATTAACTAATCAATCCTTTTACATGATCTGATACATTCAATTCTATTAAAGAGTCAAGAAGCATAATTTCACCTAAATTAGACAGGGGTCATTAAAGATTGAGCACGAGAAGTACGTTGATACATAGAAGCCTTAAATTACCTGGGAGAAGATATTTCTAAATCTTTGCCGGCAAGTATTTACAAGCAGTTACTGGCTGTATAACAAAATCGACAACTATTTTAAGTAAAGAAATGAGTAAGAACATTTCTAAGCAAGGAAACTAAAAATTTTGAAATTTTAAAGATTGTTCTGGAAAGATAGAACTGCTCGAGGGAGTTGGGATGAGCAATGAAGTCGCCAAAGAAGTTATCGCGAATGTAACCACCTTTGTGCAAACATTATCATAAAAAGGCAAATGTTACGAAACGCTTGTGCAGATAAGAATAAAGCTATGCAAGGCAAGGAAGAACAAGTCACAAAAGTTCTACAGCCACATAGAGACTCACTGGGAAGATCATTTACTATTGCCCAGGGTTTTTATAGCGTGCAGTTCTACACAAAATGAACAGTTCTAAAAGCTTTTTGTGCAGTTCTAAAGAAAAGTCTGTGCAGTTGTAAAATTATTACTTCAGTGAAAAAATGAATAAATAAAACTGTTAAATAAAGACATGTAAGGAGAAAGAACACTTAAACAAACGATGAAACTAATGAAAGCTAGGAAAGATGGCATTTGAATTAAACAAACAATTTTTGGGGAAATTACAGGCATCAAAAAACATTCTATAGTAAGGACTTTACTTTATTACATGAAATTCAGAGCGGGTAGAAATTTGGTCAAATTTTTGAAATTCGTCAGTTATCAAAAAACGTTCCAAAAAACATAATTTTCTCAAAAGGTATATTTTCACTTCACTTTAAAAGTTCTTCTTCTTAGTCTTCAGTTTTCTTCATCTACGGAAAGCGCTTCTTTATGTTCAATTGATGCCTCTTTGAAAACCCCTTTAAAATATTCCTGTTGCTTTCCATTGGGTCCTTCTCTATTCCGACGAGCTTTTGCCTTAATCCACTCCAACACAGCCGACTGCGGGTCCCATTGGCCAAGGGCTGGCATATTGTGATGCACATAAAGGTATTTGTTTTCAGTTTCTAGCAGCATCCGTCAACGGCCAGACGATTTTAGGGCAACATTCGAGTTAACCAGCCTCCCAACGCTCGTGCTGTGAGGCTTAGCAGCAAGAATTCTAGCAAATGCAACTTTCAGGTTAGGGAACAACTCGGACATCAATAGCCTGTTAAAGCGACTTGACAATGGCTGTGCTCTGAAATGCTCATAATCTTCTAATAACATCAGATCTTTATCCTCCTGTCCCATTTTCACTAGGTCGAGATCTTTTAAAAGCCTAACGTGCAACTGTTTCAGATCTGCTGAACTGTCCATGTGAACAAATGGTTTTAGCAATGCAATATCTTCTTCGTTTTGATCAAACCTTTGTCGCAGAAATTCCACCATTCGATTACATCATTCTTTATTGCATCTATATTTCTTTGGTCTGTGACATACAGATGATGCTGGCGGTTGCGTCGATTTTCTGGACTTGTTAACTGGGCTATCTGTTCATTTAGAGCCTCTGTCCATCCACCAAGAAGAGGAACAAACATCAGCTTTTGAAGTTTCTTTGCCACTTTTTTGGTGTAGTCTCCCATATCTTCCAATGTAACTGTGTCATATTGTAATTGCTTCTGGTAGTGAGAAAACACAGTGAGCACATCTGCGACAAAAGCGAGCAGATCAAGATTAAATTTTTTCGTAAGCAGCTTAAAAAACCTTGTTCCTGTGGGACGGTTATCTCCTTGAAATAAATGACCAGTGCATTTCACGACACCAAAATTGCTTCAACTAATGAAAATGTATATTCAGTGCAACAAGTCTAAAAAAACCTGGAATAGCCAAAACACGACAATTCACTTTTTTAGCTGTCTCACGTAAGTCACGGCTTCACGTTGACTGTGAAATTTCCGCAGCAATTCTTTGCCATGGGTGGCTTGGGATTTCACGAGGAATGAGGGGCTCTCTGGCCTGGTTTTTTTGGAATGTGTTACAGATTTCACATTTCGAGATGAAGTCGATAAGATCTTTGTTCATGCCAGGCCAGTCAACTGCTTCTCTGGCTCTTCTAAGGCAGCTCTGTATTTCTGTGTGTGTTACATGCAGTTTCTCCCGGATCTTTCTGCGCAGTGTTTCTGGAACAACAGCTCTCTGACCCTTGAATATTACATCGTCCTGTGGTGCTAGCTCGTCTCTAATTGAGAAGTATGGATGTATACATCGAGGAATGGTCTCTTTTATTTCTGGCCACCCATTCACCAATTATTTTCTTCGGTGATTTTAAAGTGCTGTCACATTTGGTTTCTCGCTGGATTTCCTTCAGCTGTGGCTCAGAAATTGAGAGAAAATTTGACATTTGGATAGTTTCGACTTCTTCTTCAGTTGCGGACTTTTGTCTCTCACTTATCGGCAGGTATGCACGAGAGAGTGTATCTGCTAGAACAATTTCTTTGCCAGGTTTATAGCAGATTTTAACATCGTATGATTGCAATTTTAGTACCAACCTTTGCAGTCTCCTTGGAGCAGAGGCGAGTGGTTTGCTGATGATTGAGTCAAGTGGTTTTCGATCCGTCCAAAGTGTGATCTCTTTGTCATAGACATAGGTATGGTGATGTTCCACTCCAAATACTTGGGCAAGCAGCTCCTTCTCTATTTGGCTGTAATTGTGCTCTGCAGGGGTGAGGACTCTGCTCGCATATGACACTGGACGTCCCCCTTGCATGAGCATGAAACCAAGACCCTTTGATGATGCATCAGCCTGGCCTTCTGTTGCTGCCCTATGGTCAAAATACTTTAGAACTGGTGCCTCGCAAATTCTTGCGAGTGGATCAGATCAAGACTTGTCATGATCTTTCCCCATACCCATGGTGCATCTTTGTGAGTCAAATTTCTCAGAGGTTCGCATACTTCATTTTATCATGCCAATGCCAGGTATTTTATCATGCTTTGTACATTAGCGACATCTTTGGGCTTGCTCATTTTTGTGATGGCTTCAACTTTTGCAGGGTCTATCTTAAGAACATTCTGTGTTAGAGTATGACCAATGAAGGAAACTTCTTCGCACTTGAACTTGAATTTGTCTTTGTTCAGCTTGATGTTTTTTTGTTGACATCGCTTCAAAAGTGCCAGCATGTTCATGTCATGATTTTTGACAGCTTCTTCGTATGTTTCTCCTCTTCCGGTAACAAGAACATCGTCAGCGACTGCATTCACCCAAGATAGGCCTTCAATAAACTGATCAAATTTGCGTTAAAATGTTCTGAAGCTGGTTTAATTCCAAATGGCATCCTGAGGTACCTCCAACCTGGCCTTGTGTCTGGAACGTTGTGAGCATGCTTGATTCTTCGTCGAGCTCTATTTGAAAGTTACTCTGTCTTCAGATCAATTTTACTGAATACCTTGACACCTTCTAACTCTGGTAGCACCTCCTCAATGAGCAGTAATGGATAATGATTTCTTTTCAATGCTTTGTCGAGGTGTTGGGGATGGATGCACACCCTCAGTTTCCCAATTGGTTTTTCTGCAATGAAGAAAATTGATACCCAATCTGTTCGACCTGTAACTTTCTGAATGACATGAAGATTTTCCAGCCTTTCCAATTCAGCCTTGAGTTTTGCTTTAAGAGCGATTGGTACTCTGCGAGGCGGTATGACAACAAGGGTTTTTGACTTATCAACATCTAAGTGCAACTTGCCTGACATGGGACCCAGGCCTTCAAAGACATCTCCAAAACGGTTCTCTGTATCTGCAATACTGAGTGAAGCCTCTGCAGTAGTCGATAAAACTGTTTCCATGACAACCGTTGGTTGTGCCTATTGATTTGTGCTGTTTGAAGGAATACTGTTAGAGCTAACATTACCTACATTTGCGTTAAAGATATTAACATAATTAACAGTCAGCAGTCCCATCTTTTGTGCTGCATTAGCTCCTAATAATGATACATAGTCTTTTACAATAACAAATCTGACAGAGTACTCAGTCTGGTTCTTTGGGTTCGCTACCTTAAGTTTACAAATACCATTTATCGGTAATAAGGCTTGACTGTACATGCGCAAAGAGTGATCTGGAAGAACATTACAGGTAGCACCTGAGTCAAGTTGAAAACAAATTTGCCTGCCTTTCATAATCATGGAGGCAAAAATTTTGTTCTTAGAAAGGGACTGGGACAGAGCATTGATTGCCAAATTATTTTGGGTGAAATTTCAACAATGAGATTTTCATCATCACTAGAAGTGTTTTATTCCTTCACTGTATTTATCTTGGCTTTAGAAAATGTATCTCGCATAGCTAGTAATTACTTCAAGCTGCATTTCTCAACAAAATGGTTTCTCTTACCACAACCGGAACAATATCCGCCGAAGGCTGGGCAACTCTCTTTGTTTCTTTATGGCTACGTCCACAAAATTTGCAATCTGGAATAAAACCTCTTGTGTCTCCAGTGGTCTTTCTTGAACTGCTTTGCTTTACAGAATAATTTGCCATGATGACATGACTATCAGCTTGGCCAGCCATTACTTCTGCTTGAGCAGTAGTTGTTTCTGTGGCCCTGCATAAGTCAATGCATTTAGATAAGGTCAGTTTTGGTTCTTGCAGTAGCTTACGTCGCACAGCATTGTTGTGAATGCCACAAACAATTCGGTCACGTATCAACTCAACATTAGCTAAGTGTTCCAAATGCACATGTGGCTGCGAGGCAGGCAAAGAAGCCGCATAAGTTTCAATTGACTCTGTAGGTCCCTGTGTACAATTTTTGAATTTATAGCGTTCGTAAATCACATTTGTTCATCCAATACAGTAAGTATTCCATAATTCG